TAGTATGTAATTTGAATAGCCTTGTAACCTCATCAAATTATATTAGTTACACAACTATTCAACAGTCCCCATGGGTTGGGCCAGCAGCCAGTGCACTCCCAGCCCAACTCCCAGGAAGCCCCCTGCCACCTTATGCTGCTGCCTCTCTAATAGAGGCAGCAGCGTGGGGTGGCAGGCGGGAGCTGGTCTGTGAGGGGATCCGGTTTAAAAACAGGCTCCCTGCATAGACTGGCTCCCACCTGCCATCCCAGATACAGAGGCAGTACCACAAGGTGGCTGCAGCCCCTGTCCACGGGGAGTTCTGACCCCCTCACAGGCCTCTGTCTGCAGTGGGCTCTGCAGCAGCTTTCCTTACCCTCTCCCACGCTGCTGCCTCAGAGAAGAGGCAGTGGGAGGGGGGGCAGGTGGGTCCATGGAGTCAGCACGCATGGAGGGCTGGTTTAAAAGCTGGCTCCTGTCCACAGAGACAGCAGCATGGAGGTTGGAGGGGGCAGGAAGTTCCAGAGCTAGCTTAAAACCCGGTTCCCCATAGCCACTAGCTCCCACCTCCCCTGAAACTGGGGGGGGGGGGGAATGTGTGTAGTTGACAGGATTAACCGATTAGCCCACGCTTATCAGTTAATCGTGTAGTTGTCTACACACTGACTTCCCTAATAGTGGAAGTTTCAGTTTGTGCAATTTCTCAGTAAATGTATAGTATTCCCTTGAGAAACTTGGGAGGTAGGGGAACTGATCAGTTGAGGAACTTGAAAGATAAGCTTGTTTTGTTGATATATTAAAAATGTCTGTTGTCTTTGAATTCTCTTGATCATTCTGCAGATAAAATTTTTTGCAATTCATAAACTAGGGATGTAAAAGGTTAATTAACCAGTTACCTGGTAAACATTAGCCCTGCCAGCATGCTCACCTGATCACTGGTTAACCAGAGGGCTGGGCGAGGGATGCAGCCCTCCTTCCTCTGCTGCCTGGCTGGTGGGACCCCAGCTGGCCAGAGCAGTTTTCCCCCCTCCCCAAGCCAAAGTAATTCCTCACCTGTGGTGGGAATCTGGCTGGCCAGAGGATGGCCCTCAGTTTAAACGATGAAAATTATATCATTTAACCGGTTAACACTCATTAAAAAGTTTACATCCCTATAATCCACTTTACATCCACTTTGTTTTTTTTAAAGGTGTGTATATTCCTTTTTCTTTTGTAACTACATGGTCTTAGCGTTGCCCTAGAGTAGATTAAGTAATGTTTTGAGGGCTGATCATTTCAGTAGGTTTCAGCGGTAGCAGGAGTTCTATTAATATTTAGAAGGTAGACATTTAGACTCTGTCTGATCTTCAGACTGGGATGTAATTCCGGTTTGAGGAAATGCTGCTGTGTTAGCTCTCTTTGAGCTGGCATGCTGAGCATAGAAGGCAGCCATGACAGCCTGAGGGGCCAGATACTTATACCATCCTGTCTGAAAGGCTAGGTATGTAGTTGAGCCAGCTAATCCTTCCTTCTTTTTTAGTGCAAGAGCTCAATTAGAGCTGGCACAGGTATCTCTCTTTGGGGGAACACTTCCCAGCCCAGCTTTAAGCATGCAGGCTACGTCTACACTGGCCCCTTTTCCGGAAGGGGCATGTTAATTTCACCTATCGTAGTAGGGAAATCCGCGGGGGATTTAAATATCCCCCGCGGCATTTAAATAAAAATGTCCGCCGCTTTTTTCCGGCTTTTAAAAAAGCCGGAAAAGAGCGTCTACACTGGCCCCGATCCTCCGGAAAAAGCGCCCTTTTCCGGAGGCTCTTATTCCTACTTTGAAGGGCCAGTGTAGACGCTCTTTTCCGGCTTTTTTAAAAGCCGGAAAAAAGCGGCGGACATTTTTATTTAAATGCCGCGGGGGATATTTAAATCCCCCGCGCATTTCCCTACGACGACTGGTGAAATTTACATGCCCCTTCCAGAAAAGGGGCCAGTGTAGACGAGCCCGCACAGAGCCTGATACGGTAAGGTTGATTTGGGGGTGAGGTATAAAATCCTTGCCCCAGTAAAGTCATAAGTAGTTCTGCCATTGATTTGAACGGTGCCAAAATGTGACCTTAGAATTCTGAGATGTAATAATTTAATATATTTAGTAATTAGAAATACATTATTAATTAGGGCCTTGATCCTAAGTCTAGTGTGCTCAGCCCTCTTACAGGAATGAGCTCTGGTTTGAGTAGAAATTAATTCTTTTGTGGCTCAGTCACAGGCTCCACTGTGACCATATCTCATTCAGTAATAAGACCAAGAAAAATTAAACAGTATTGCTAAGCTCAACCCTAGGCCTCCTTTGAGACAACATCTGATACAACAGTGGAAATCATCTGAGCTTCTCAGAACAGAAAAGTGACCCTGTAAATTATCATGGTGGTGTTTTATTTTTGAGTTGTTTGACAGATAATCATAGATGACTGCTCTGTACAGGCACATCTGTGTCTGATGAAACGGTGTTAGAGGAAATTACAGTTGCCTGACAAGCTATGTCATGGGTATAACCTCTCCCCTGTTCCCAATCAGCCCTTTCTATTTTGCTTTGGCTCTTTTTCTCAAAGCTGGCTTACAACAAAAAGGTTTTCAGTGAATGTTAACACTTAACACTATATTTTTCTTATTGTAGTTTAATAGAATTTAAAGTTTGCAAATTTCAGCAACCATAGGTTTGAGTATCACCTGCATGAAGGAAAAGTATTTCTTTTAGTTTGTTACTTCATCAGTTAAAGGTGAACAATTAAAGCACTGTTGATCTTTCTTTATTGTATACCTTGCCCAAAGAGCACAATATTAATGATATCGGAAAACAAATTGATAGTGATTCATTACAGAAATTGCTAAATTACTCTGTAATTTAAAACCTATTTTGAATTTCGTGTCTGGCCATCTGCTGAGAAATCCCAAACCATGTTGGTTGGCATTGCCAGAATCGAGTACTAAATTCTTTAAAAATACCTCACAGAATTCTTCAGGGCATTTATACTAAAACTTGGGGCTGACCGGAGCCTACATGTAACATTCCCTCCTCCTTTCTCCACCTCCGTCTACCTCCAGGCAGCTGGACTTGCCATTGGCTCTCCTTTTTCTCAGGCAGTGGTGAAGTGAGGACTTCTGAGATTTGAATTTTACTAGATCAATTCAGGAATTCCTAATCTTACTGTTGCTTTTTTCATAGACTACCACTCACAAAGAATCCCTTGTCCCCACCACCTGCATCTCTTCTCCCTGGGGGCTCCAGGATGGAAGAGATCCATAGAAAAGACCATGTTGTTGTTTGTATTATCTTTCCATCTAAACTCCACAAGGTGAATGGGTGCCATGAGCATTTCCTTGCAGCCTGTGGTCCACCCAGTCTCCATACCATCCCATGAACAGCTTGTATAGGAGAAGGTTACCCTTAGTGTGATCTGAAGGAAATAGGGAATGAGGTTGCCAAAGTGGCAGCCCCTACCCCTTTCACCTTCTGAATGGGCTGGCAGAGATCTGTGGAAGAAGTTTGGGGGGATGGAACAATGAGCAGTTTTTCCAGTTCTCACAATTATACCATGAGATTGTGTCAAATCCTCCCCTGCCCCCCTACCAAAGCTCAGCTTTTGGAGGCAAGCTGTTGTGAGAATCTTAGCTTTCATATTTTTAAAAACTATCCTAATTTCAGAAATTCCTTAAAAGCTGGTGCTAATACAACCTAAAATTCAGAAACCAGAAAAACAAATTTAGTATATCCCAAATTTTATTTTCTTTAAATCGGGAGATGTTAAGAAAATTTAACAAATATAGTTTTAGTACAACTCTTTAGGAACATAAGACCAAATGTCCATAAACCCCAGTATCCTATCTCCCGACCGTGGCCAATGCCAGATGCCCCAGAGGGGATAAGTAGAACAGGTAGCCATGAAATGATCCATCCCCTAGTGTCTGGCAAGCAGAGGCTAGGAGCACTATCTCTGCCCAGCCTGACTAATAGCTATTGATGGGCATATTCTCCGTGCATTTTTTTTGAACCCTATTCAAGTCTTGACCCTCACAACTTCTCTGGCAAGGAGTTTCACTGGCTGACTGCACATTCTGCGCAAAAAATGCAAAAACCTTCCTTTTGTTTGTTTTAAGCCTGCTGCCTATTCATTTCATTTGGAGGCCCCTAGTTTTTGTGTTTTTTAGAAGGAGTAAATAAAATGTCCTTATTTATTTTCTCCACACCAGTCATGATTTTATAGGATATGATAGAGAACTATCTTAGTAGTTTCTTTTCCAAGCTGAGAAGAACCAGTCTTGTTAATCTCTCCTCATATGGAAGACATTCTATCCTCCTAATATTTCTTTTTTACCCTTTCTGAACCTTTTCCAATTTAGTATATCATTCTTGAGATGCGTTAACCACAGCTGCATGCAGAATTCAAGATGTTGGCATACCATGGATTTATATAGAGGCAGTATATTTTCTGTTTTATCTGTTCTGTTTCTGAATTATTCCCACTACTCTGTATTCTTTTTTGATTACCTCTACACATGGAGTGGCTGTTTTCAGATAACTATCCACAATGACTCTAAGATCTTTCTGGAGTTCTAAGATGTATGTCATGATGTTTTGTCACTGCTCATGTGTTTGCCTTCAACCTTCTGCCTGACCTTTCCAAAGCACAGTGAGATCTTAACATGTTGCACATACGGTAACCTGATTGCTCCATTATATCCAATTTTTCTATTCCTTTAAGTGAAAACCATTATATATTTCCCAGAGATTTTAGCCTGGTAGATAATGGTAATGTAGGTTTGGTGCTTTTGGTGGCTAGTCACTTGCCAGATTGCTTGAAAAGAGTAAACTCAATCTATCACATTGCCCTATTATATATTTTTTTTCAGTATCAGGTATGTACTGTTCATCTTTTATACATACAAATTCAAGTATTGAACTGAACTCCGTTCTCTTGTATTTCTGTGTAGTCTTATTGACATAGGGTAGACAGTATTCAAAATAGTCTTTCTGCTATTTTCCATAGCTCCTGCAAGTGGATGGACATCAAACAATATTACACCGTCTGGCGCAACTGCACCAAGTGACAAGTCTGTGATACAACCTCCGCTAGAAGAACAAGACACTTTGGTCCAGAGAGCAGAGCATATTCCAGCAGGAAAGCGTACTCCTATGTGTGCTCAATGTAACCAGGTCATTAGGTTTGTACCCCTTTAATTATCATTTTATCCTAAAATTTTTCTGACTGCAGAGTCTTGTTTTGTTTTTTAATTATTTGGGCTACATTTCAGCATAACATGGTTCAGTATTACATAGTATTTTTATGCAAGAAATCCATACAATTTATTTAAAAAATGAGTCTGAACTTGGTGATACAGGAAGCAAATGTGGAAGCCATTATTTGCTCTTAGTAGTCACGGATGCTTTTAGAACCTGTTTTACTGAAAACAAGAACGTTGACTGGGACATGGCAAAAATAAACCTAAACCAAATCAACAAGTTGTGACTAAATCAAACGTTCAGTCAACCCTAGAAGATTACCAAGTTGAAAGGCAAATATTAGATGATATGGAAATCAAAGAAAGAGTAACCTATGAGACATATTTTGTAACTGAGATTAAACTAAATAAGTCCCATTCATTTCAGTGGTGCAATAATGAATTATTTTATATAGCTAATGATTACTGCCATCTAGTTGATGGGTCTCTCACCAGAAGGGCAGTAAATATAAAAAGGAGCAGTGTGTGTTTCCTAAGAGCTAGGTCATGCTTTTGGATTTTAAAACAAATTCTTAAGTGTGGCATTTTTTTTAAAAATTTCTGGGCTGCTCAATCTCATAAATCCATGGGGGAATGAAATAAATCCATGGATGAGTCTGTTACAGTTCTCTCTCTTTTGATTTACTAATTTATAACCATATTTTAAGCTAGTGAAATTGCTGAGGCATTGTAATTTTCATTGTGGTTGAGCCAACAGGTTACGTTGGTCAGACTTTAGATACTTTTCTGAAAAACTAATTTTGAAGAATTATCTGTACTTCACATGTAAAAGTTTCAAATATAATAGGTAATCAACTTTTCTGTTATACACTGCATTCAGCAGGCTATCTTTATATCATGGTTTGGGAGCCAAGTCAAAAGAGTTAAGACAGCACTGTAATCATATGATGAGTATAACTGAATTGAATTCAACTTGTTTGACATATTAACTTTCCATTCTGATAGTGTCCTCTCTGATCATTTAACATTAAGCTAACTTTAGACTTTAATTGTTCAGTGGTAACTCAACTGTGGTAAGATATTTTGGAAATATTTATTTTAAAATGTTTCTTCACCATTTCTATTTATTAATCGAGGCATTAAAATGAGCAATCTGAAAATCTTCTTGTCACAATAAGGAATTAAATATGTACACATGCACTAATTCCAAACATAGGTAGGCATTCATTCCTATTCTAATTTTATGCTGCAATATAAAAATGCAAGGTTGTTGAAAATATATGTGCTCTCAAGTCTTATGGGTGCAATTAAAAGGATGTATTGAAAAGTTTAGCCATGTTTTTTTCCTATAGCGTTCAATTCTTTCATTACCTGGCCAATAAAAATCTGTGAATGGATCAGTACCTAGTAGATTACATGCAGAGATCCAGATCAGTCTACATAGTTATTTTGTTTTTAAGATGTAGCACTATTATCTCTCATTTGAGAAACTGCAGCTCCTTTTAAATTGTTGCCAGTTTAGCAGACATTAGTGTTGCCTTATCTATTCCAGTGGCTCTTATGCTCTAATTCAGAGAACCAGATGGTCATATGGTGTTATTTCACCTTGTCTCCAGCTGCTAAATCTCATTAAATGGATTTAAACATACATTAAATACTTTCTTAATACTACATAGCTTGCAGTCTTTTTGGAGCAGTGACTGTCTTATAACATGAATACGCAGCTCACTGTGACTTCAGTGTATGATTAAGACCCCTAGGTACTACTGAAATACAAATAAAAATAAGAATTTGAATGTAACCAGTTGCTGTAGTTACCACATGGATGATGATGGATCACAAATTAAATGGGAACTAAGTTATGTATCTGAACTTGAGAATGTGTGGTGTGTGAAACAGGCTGGTAAGATGCAGTCCACACAATGAAGAAAAAAAAATGCCATCAACAGTACTTTTACCATTACCTACTGTAGATTTTGTGTGACTGATACCTCCTTAATAAATCATAGTATAGTTTATAGAGCTGTTGGGCTCATGCAGCCTAGGGTCAGACCGCTTTTTGGCAGGAGAAAATTGATTGTTGCTGTGATCTAGCATGCCAGATTGCAACACCAGTCACGCAAATTCAGCCCAGCCATCTGCGATAGAGGGGCTACCAAGCCCAACATGAGTGGTCATCACAACACCATTCTGTCAATTTTTTTGGGGTGGGGGGGAGGAGGCAGGAAGGGTGTAGAGGCTAATAGACCTGGTGAAATCAGCTTTTTGATAGAGGAGGGTGCCAGAGAGGGGAAGAGAAGCATCAGGTGGAGTTGGGCATATGCCATCTACACACTTAAATGATGCTTTGCAGCCATTGAATTATATAATGCATTTTAAAGTAATGGTTTCTGTTTTCCCACATGTGCATAGGACTCACATGTCTAACTTCCTTTTTCACTAATGCTGATTATTTCTTACATAAATCTCTTGTACTCTGGTAGAAGAATTAGTTCCTGTGATGTTGGATTAAACAACCTTCTGAACGCGAATAAAAATATGGGAGTTGCAATTGAATTTGCATACCATTTTCAGTTTTAAGCTTACTGCTACTGGAATGTATTGTAATTAGAAGAAAAGCTGCCTATTAGAGCATACATAGCACTAGGTACAACACAGTACCATATGATATTTCAGTTTGAGCACTATTTATTTGCCTTTTAACAGTCAGTTGTATGTCAATTCAGATTATTCAGGTGCTTTTTAAAGACCAGGCTTTCGTATCTTTAAATGCAGAATTCTTAAGAACAAGGATCATTTCATGTCAAGATCAACTGACAGTACAGTAATCAGTATATGGAGTTCACGTAGCATTCTCACGCTACAGTGGTTTTGGAAGATTGTGATAGCTTTTGAAGTTCAAGTTTTAACATAATTACAGTTCATGCCCTTAGTGGCAGCATTACCGATGAAAAGGTAGGCGTGGGATCAAGTGACATTGCATTGTACACCTGTTTTGCAGCCAAAATGCACTGTAGACTTGGTTACTTTACACTAAGGCATAGAGTAACCATGGCTTGTCAAGTCAAAAAAAAATTGAGACATCTTATAACTTTTTAATTTATTCTCTTAATTATTGATATGTTTATCTTTCACAGACTTCAACATTTTCCAAGGTTTCATTAGATAAACCTTTCTTTCTTTGCATAAAAATATCCAAACCAAACACAAACTATATTTTCTGTTTAAAATACCAATGTGATATTTGTAATGAAGCTCTCAGACTTAAAATTGATAGCTTCCAAAGACTTCTGGAACTCAGTAAGTCTCTGAACACCAAGACTCTGAACTGGCTGTCACTTGGAAATTCAAATTTGTATTCCTGGGGTCTCCACCAATACATTCTTGTGTGAGACAAAAGATTTATTCTTTAGATCTTTTCACAGAGTTGAACTATTTTGAAGGGCAAAATTAAGAGTACTATTTTTCCTGGTTCCTTACATATTCAAAAATACATATTATAGTGTTGGATTTGGAAAAGAAGAAACATTTATTTTTTGGACTGCCATTCCATTAACTATCAAGCAATTGTCCAGTTGAGCAGATGTGAAAATCTTTTCTATCTCACCACCACTAAATTCCTCTGTGGATATGAGTGTAATATAATCACATGATCACCCAGAGGAAAACAGCTGGTGCACCACATGAATATACGGTTGTTGTATCTCGTTAGTGTCAAAATAGTGTAATTGTGCTTATTTTTTGGGAAGTATTTACTTCCCCTTATATACTGCTTATATATAAGCAGTATAAAAGAGGCTGCCTAATTTGCACATGCGGTGATCTTTCAGGGTGCTCAAAGAGTAACTGTTTGGACGAGTGTATGTTTCTACCTCCAGCTACAAAGTTTGCACACATGGTCTAAACAGTTGTATTTGAAAATTGGGCCCAAAGTCCTTAGCACCTCAAAGCGGCCTACAAGGGGAGCTCACTCAAAGCAAGCTATGGTTTGTAGGAGAGGCCTTGATTTTTATGATGGAGTAAGTGATCGTTTTGTAATACCACTTATAAAATTTCCAGTGAGAAGTCACCTTTAGGTCCAGTAATAAATTAATATCTTTTATTACTGCAAGTTCTCCATTGGATTAAAGTGTTTAATCAAAAATATGCAAAGATCAGTAGCACCCCCAAAATTCTGATTGTCACATCTTTATATACTTTCCAATGATTTTTTTTCTGTCCTTTGTAGTTTTCTTTTTAAATTAGTGGGCACGATTAAACTTCTAGCATATTTAAACAGTGACGCATTTAAAAGTACATTTTAAAAAAAGTATCTGAACATACGTATATAGTGAGTACAAAGGTACTGATAGAAAAAAATCCCGAGACACTGTGCAGTGTGCTACCATATTTGTCTGAGGACTGTTCAGAGGGAAAACCGCTAGATAAAATTTTATACCATTTCCTGTCCACCTGGATTCTAGCACACTATCTGGAATACTTAGCCTAAAAATGTCAAAATTGCAAACTGTGGAGAGCTAAATATAACAGATGTTGAAGTCCCTCTCCTGCTTTTAGTACAATACTTTCCTTCCACTTTGTAACTATCCAAGCCTATCATTTTAGTGGAGGCAAACAGAAATTTGATCCTGCTGGAGCTAGAAGAACCTCTTCAGTGTCAGTTCTGTGTTAATGAATGCGTTAAATTAGCCTGTGCTGACACTGAGAGAAGAGAGCACTTTGTTGTACACAAGAACTTGTATTGTTTGATCTGTACATAACTGAAAGGGCATTGATGTAAAAAGGTGCTTGTACAGAGGCTGAGGGGGTATCAGGTAAGGTCAGCGTTTGTGCTATTCAGGCATCCACAAGGGAGTCTGGAGTTTGACTACATTAATTCTGACTTCCACATTCAGGGACAAATTTCCAAAAATAGTTTCTACTGCTTTCTCCAGTGGTCCAATATAGTCAGGAAATTAAAATTAAATAATTTTGGTCCTTTTTCAAGATGATCTATGAGCCACTCTAAATGTACTTTAGTCCCATTTCTTTTGTTCTCCTCTTGTGTTCATGTTCCATCAATACAGCAAATAAATGTGGGAAATTAAAAGAATTATCCACAGCTTCTTTTGATGAATTTTGCCTCTTTCTTCTGCCTGTTTGTCTTCTCATCCTGAAAAATACCCCAGGCTAGTAAGCTATTTGCAAAAATTCTTCTCCAACTACTTTGTTGGTAAAGAAATCTTATTTTATACAAAATATATTATATTTCATTCTTTTTAATATTTGGAATAATCATTGTAGTATACGTGGTCGATTGTTTTTGAGTTTTGATGCAGGACAAAGGTTAAGTGCTTTATATTGAGCGTGATCAGGATTAGGCTGAGTACAGCAGGCAACAAGATACTTAATCTTTCAGGGTTGCAGACACTAAATGTATGCTAAGAGATGGATGAGACTGAACCACAAAGCTTTGATCCAGATACACATTTCCTTAAAGTTTGAATATGGTTTGAACTTAGTCTCAAATCAAAAACCTATCTTAGCTAAAATAAATATGTGAGAGTATCAAAATAAATGTTTAGTGTAGAAATTAACATCTTTCGGTTTCAAAATTAACTTAAATATAATTGTATAAGGGAGAGCTTTATAAGTGTTATCTGGAAAAATTAGTTTGCTTGTAGACTGGGTTGTTTCATCCAAAAGCCTAATTGTCTTCTCCAGATTAATATTTTACAAGGTTTTTTGCATTTCTCAAATGATAATGGCTTGACTTTTTTCTGTTCTGAATGCAAAGTGTTCTTGCCATAACTGGGTACTGGAGAGAATGGTGCTCTCTCGCCTGGAATAGTTAATCACAACAACAGACTTTACAGAGAAATGTATTTATTTTTGTCTTTTGAAAAACTGATCTTATATGGTCTTGACTTCTCTGTGGAATCAAATCTATTTTAACATTTGTAATCTTGATGCAGATATGCACTGAAAAGGTAATATAATTTCAAATATAATTATATTTTGCAATATAGAAATAGTTTGGAATATAATGTGATATTCTAAAGTTGTAGCTTTTCTAGCAATCACTTCAGTGTGATGGCATTTATTTAATGGTGTTCAAAGTAAGAAGTGAAATAAAATCCATTGGTATTTATTGTGACCAAAGATCATTCCAAGCACTACATTTAAATGGATGCAGAATTGCTCAGCAGTTCATTAAAGATGGTTGTAGATAACAGATGTCAATCAGTAAGATATGTAGTTCTAATATCACATGGATAGATGTTTATAGCTGTCAATGTTGCTCCCTAAGTTGCTCTGCATTGGCTAACCTAGTTCCTTCTCCTTTAACCAGGGGACCTTTCTTGGTGGCTTTAGGGAAATCCTGGCATCCAGAAGAGTTTAACTGTGCTCACTGCAGAACTTCTATGGCTTATATTGGGTTTGTGGAAGAGAAGGGGTCTCTCTATTGCGAGGTCTGCTATGAGAAGTTCTTTGCTCCTGAATGTTCTCGATGCCAGAGGAAGATACTTGGAGTAAGTAATCAAACTGGGTGTGCACGGTTTAAATTAGTATTTGGGGGGTTTTTTAAGGAGAATGTTAACCACAACCTTGCCTCCTTTCTTCTAATGGGAATAGTAGCTTTTATGGAACATTTTATTGCAGATTACCCTGTTTGTTTGTTTTTTAACTTACAAGGCACCTTTCATGTCCCTTTTAGAACTATGAAATCCCTTTTTTGTAGCCAATTTCTCCTGCTACAGATTCACTCTGTAGCACTACTGCAGCTGTCATCATATAGATAAGAATACAGGCTGTAGTTCTATATTCTAGTTCCATACCAATGATGGACTTTACCAGTTTATCTCCAGCACTGTTTGAGGAGAGACATTGCAGCTTCCCCATGACCAGAAATGTGGACTCTCGGCCTTTCCTCTGGCTGTGCCTCTTTGGAGTTAATTTTCTCTCTTCAAGTTGTCTGTTCATAACTACTGCAGTTCTTCAGTTGTCCTAAGGGAAATTATATTTTATTGGTGGTTTTTCACAGCATTAAAAAACTCATTGTAAAATTTGTAAAAATTACTATGCCTAGCTCAGTACTACAGAACATGTCATTTGTCTCGCATTAGGTAAAAGATAAAATATCAAAATGTTCCCTATAGGTTGGTAGGTAGAAAATCTCTTGCTCCCTCTCAGTCTAACTTTTCCAATTCCAATCCTTTGATTCAGAAAGATATGAGTCTCTTCCCCAATGTAGCTGGAAATGCCAACATACATCTCATGGCTCTAGCAATCCAGATTTCAAGTCACATTTGGCATTACATCATCTTTCAAAACTGAACAAAATTGACACAGTTTCCTTTATTATATCCTTTGATTTAATTTTTCCCTGTCTTCGTGAATATTCATTTATATTTGTCTGAAATCAGTGGGACTACTCACACAGAAATGCACTATTCAGTGTGAATAAGGGTGACAGAATCTGTCTCAAAATCTATTAGGGCAGCAGTAATATTAAGCTTTTGAACTTCAGCTTTGCAGGTGTCTTTCAGAATATTGCAAAAGTATTCCTGAAAAGCTGGGGAAATCGAACTGTGATCCTGGTTTGGGATTCTTTGCTAGTTTATAGTTTTTGACAGCTGCCAAAGACTTGTAATGACATGTTGAAAGCATTGAGATAACAATTTAAACAGTTCTTCATCCTAGATGAAGAGAGTGATAAACGTTTATAAAAAATGCAGCAATTTATAAGATATAATGTTAATAAAAAATTATGTTTGTGTTAATTTATTTAATAAGATCTTCTAGTAACATTGCAGGGAACTCCTGAAAACAAACATGATCACTCCTGTCCATTTATATCAAAATCAATTCTTAACACCCTTTTTTCTTATCCCAACAGGAAGTAATCAATGCTTTGAAACAAACTTGGCACGTTTCCTGTTTTGTATGTGTGGCCTGCAATAATCCCATTCGCAATAATGTCTTCCATTTGGAAGATGGGGACCCCTATTGTGAGACAGGTGAGCAGTAACTATAGAAACAATGTTTTCAGTGAAACAAAACAAAAATAATTTCACTTTGGCAGAAGAAACTCTCCAACTACTTCGTTTAGCAATTTATTTATTTCAATTTATTCAAGAAAATAGCTTCTTAAAAGTTTGGGGCTGGATTTTGCCACTGTGCAGTCAGTCTGAATTTTGCCATGGTCTTCATCAGGAATAGTCTGTTTGTTTAATTCCATTTAGTTGCTAAATTCCCAGATGTTGGTATAGATAATGCAACAAAATGCTAATTCTACAGAGATGCTCATGTTAATTTTTCTGAGAATCGTTAGCTCTTCATTTGCTTATTTAAAGGGATTAAATGAGCGTCCTATGTAAAGTACAGGTATGGGATGTTGCAAGTAGTGGACTGGAATATCGACTATGCATTTCCCCTGCCACTGCCCCACTGTCTCTGAGAGGCAGCAAGGGGGGGGTAAAATAGGAGCTGGTGCTGGGGGGAGCTGTCTTAAAAGCTGGTTATCCCCAGCACCGTCTCCACGGTGCCGCTTCCCCCCCACACGCCTCTGTCAGAGGGGGCTAGGGGAGACTGCTGTGAAGCAGCCGCTCTCTGCGGGAGTTCAGGGGGAGCTGGGCTCCTCCACAGACAGGGCTTCTGCAGCCAAGCAGCCCGTTTGCAGCAGCCCTTATCGACATATCGTGTAGTTGATTCAAATTGTATGGACTACACGATTAGTCCGATAACCAAAATTTAACCTAGTACAGGTTGGACCTCACTGGTCTGACACTGTTGGGACCTGACTGGTCCTGAACGAGAGGATTTGCCAGCCCGAAGCCGGTCAGCCCCTTATCTCTTGACCTATCTACCCCCTCACCAGCCAGGCTGTCTACTCTGCTGCCGCTGGTCCTCCCGCTTTAGCCATGGGCCACCAGGGTTCTCTGTCCCCAAGCCCTGGCCTTACACTGCAATGGGCACCAGGTTTCCCTGGCTTCATGCTGCCACAGATGGCCAGAGTTCTCTGGCCCCCAACTACTTCCCTGGCTGCATACTGCCATGAGTGGCCAGGCTTCCCCGGCTCCGAGCTGCCATGTGCTGCCAGGGTTCTCTGGCCCCCAACGCCAAGGTTTCCTGGTCCCAGACTGCCACGGGCTGCTGGGGATTTCTGGCCCTAGTACTGCAGTGGGCACCAGCCCTGTTGCCCCCAGCCCTGGCTGTGCTGTTGCCCTTCCTGCCATTAGGTTCCCAGGCTCTCTGGTCCAGGAGCATCCATGGTCCTACCAGACCATGGATGTTGACAGATCCAGACCATGGATGTTGACAGATCAGAGAGTGCCAGTTTTCAGAGGTGCAACCTGTAGCGTGTTTCTGAGTAGTCTTACAGAAGGCAATAAGAATACTTCTGGTAGTAAGTGATGTGCACAAGAGGAAGTTTTTTTCAGGATCAGGAATAACATCTGTATAACACAAGCTTAACATGAAAAGATTGGCAGGAGTAAAAATGCAATGATTTGCAGCTCTTGAAAATCTAAAGACCAGTATTAATGCAAAGAACAGAGTCTCCTATTGACTTTTTTCTTATTTCAGCCAAACCATTTCCTTTAATTTCATTTATTTTATTTGCTTTCCTAGTTTGTTTAAAACTTTCCCCATAGAGTCCGCCTCTAGGAAAGTAATGGCTGGTATTTATAATAAACATTCACAAAACGTGAAAGGAAAGACATCATTAGTGTTGTGTGAAGAAGAGAACTGGGGAGAAATCTTGTCTCCACTCAAGTAATGGCTAAGTTCTCATTGATTTCATTGGAGCCAACACTTCACCTATAGTTGATGGCTCAGAGTGAAGCAGGAACAATGGTAGATAGTGAAGGGGTGATAAAGGTTAGTATGGCAGAGGTAGGTCATCAAAAATTCCTTTGAAATGTGTTAACCAGTTGATTTCCCCTCTCTGGATAGTCCTATCTCAACACTAAATGCTGTAAATGACCCACTTCCACCCTGATTTAATTACCTTCATTAATACAGACAGCTTCTTCCTTATATATATATATATCCCTGTTTTTATAACTCCGCTCCAATTCATCTGAGGAAGTGGGTTTTACCCACGAAAGCTTATGCCCTAATAAATCTGTTAATCTCCAAGGTGCCACAGGACTCTTTGTTGCCTGAACTTAGAAACAGTTGACAGTATGTAAATAGACTGATCATACTTAAAGTATTAAAGTAATCAGTAACTTGCCTCGAGATGAATTAAATACAGCATTTGTTCTGCCCCTATTGAATTCTTGCTTCTGCTATCAAATGAGCCGCCATGTTACGCAATATACTGATTTATGCTACTTTACAAGACTTCTCATCTCAAATGCTCACTTTTCTGAACTACAGGCAGATAGATATTGGAACACGATGCCATTAATACCAGCATGACATATTTGGTAGTAAAATTACTTATGAGCCACAACACTGTTAGTACTAGACATCTTTGGCACATGCTGAGGCTGCAGGTATTACTGTTAGAGCTGAGGGTGGCAGTGCTATTTTGTAAAAGTTCCGGATTTCTAACGAGGTGGTAAAATTGAAGGATTGGCTGAGCAATCAGTATTAACTTACTGAACATAAAGCACGTTGCGATACCACAGTGTGAAGAACACTGCATGAAAGAAACCGGGTACACCACCATTTCTAGGTAGTGAAAGGTAAAGAAATCTTCCTTTTCCCTTCCGCCTTTGCCACTGCAAAAGGAAAGCCTGCAACTTTTTTATACTGTAACTGGGAGCCACGTTAAATAGGACTTCGATTGTTTTAAGCACAACAGACGTATTGAAGCAATATGATTGTGGCACCAGGGTTGCAGCCAAGATTTACAGGTCCTGTGAGATGGAGATGTGCTCTACTATTTGGTATTTTTATCAACTTTCCCCACTATGCCTATATGCACACATTATTATTTTTTCCCGGAATCAAGGTACGGGATTAATTAAAATGACATCCTCTTGCTACTGCCAGACAGAGAAGGGCTTTACAGCTCCAATGTGTCTGTGCTTGCATCATGTTTTGGGGGGGATCCAAAGCAGACCTTTGCTCCTTATGCTTGCTCACATGTAAAGAGGCACCTGTTAGCTCTGTGTACTCCAGCAAGCATTCGAAAGACTCAGCAAGTCTGTGTTCCATGACATCATGATGCAGTGATCCAAAGCCTTTTAAATCTACCTCACTGTTCTTGTTCTGGGCATGAACATTTATTTTTTCCTTATGCTTGCTGTTTTGGGGTGGGGAGTAGGGATGGGTCTGCAATAAAAGAAAAAGGTAAACTAATTCAGGGTGAAATTTGGCCTGTACAGCTGAGCAGCAGCACATGGAATGTAAATGATGCATAGCATTTGAGATGGACTGCTGCACAGGGGAGAGTTTCACTCTTTGAGAGGAGACTTTGAGAGCCAATACTGACCTTTGTGTGTTTTTAAAAATGTGTTGTTCGGTGCACCTTATAACAAAGATACAATGGAATCCAGACTTAGGGAGCAGTAATTGGGGAAAACTTGTTTCATTTTATAAAAAACACTCTGTTCAACACAAGCAAACTACAGTGGGGGTAAAAACTTAACAGTTTAAAAATCCAGCTAGATCAAAAGTATTGATCTGTGTTTAGGAAAGAAAACGAGAGCACATATGTGTACATTAAGTGTAAGTAGTATATGTCCCGTGTTGAGGGCAGGCATGTAAAGTCTCAAAACAGGGACTGAGTTGGGCTTTAAGTAGTGCATAGATGTTGTTCTGGCCTTCTCTATGGGGTGCACTTCACTCATAACACACTACAGGCAGTCCCCGACTTACGCGGATCCAACTTATGTCGGATCCGCACTTACGAACGGGGCTTTCTCGCCCCGGAGCTCGCCGGCAGCGGTCCCGCCACCTCGACCTCCGGGGCGAGAAAAGCTGCTCCCGGTGCCCCCGGTCTGCTGGGAACCGTCTCCAGCAGACCAGGGGCACCGGGAGCAAACCCGCCGGGGCTGCGGCTTTGCTCCCGCTGCCCCCGGCCTGCTCGACACGGGCCCC